GCACGTGGGGTGGAGGCGGCCCCGTGGCCCGCCCCTCGCTGACCTGCAGAGCACCAGCCGCCCTCTGCCTGGGGAGACGCAGTGCTTTCCTCGGCCCGAAAATGCCGCTTTTGAGGATAGAAATCCGTCCAACCTGTAAATACACACGGCGGGGAAAGGCCCTGGGACAGCCATAGCCAGGACAGGCCGTGTGACTTCATGATGTGGTGGCTTTTACAAGGCGGTGAGTGCTCTTCGCTCACCGTGATGAATGGCGACCGAATGCTAACTGCATTGAGGGCACTTTGCAAGTCTTGTCCTCTCGCAGCACGAATGCTGCTGACCACGTGAGCTCTCCACCTTCGGCTCCTGGCCCCTGCCTGGCCGCCCGAGTCCCCGGGAAGCTCGCTCTCCTCGGCGCGCCTCCACCTGTGCGATGCCGGGGGCTGGGTCTAGCCCTTCCTGCCCACGCGCTGTCCCTAGGTGACCTCACCTGGACACTGCTTCAGTCCCCCCACCCCTCCGAGTTCTGGGCCCTCAGGTCCGCACCACCGGGTGCCCCCCAGGGGGTGTCTCAGAGGCACCCCATTGATCGCGCTGCATCAGACGTGCAGGTCCCCCCCCCCCCCCGAGTTTTGTGCCGTCCCCATTCCCACGCACTCCTTCCTGCCAGCAGAAGCCACGTCGTCCTTGGCGCCACACGCGCTCTCCCTCCTGGTGTCCAGCCTGTCCCCAGGTCCCTCTGCTTCAGCCCTGAGACCTCCCTGCCCGCCTCATCGGGCCTCTGCGGCTGCCACCCAGCCCTCCTGGCATCCCGTGCCCTCAGCTCAGCCACATGCCCCCTAAAAGCCTCCTGAGGCCAGGTCCACGCCCGGCCCACCTGTCGGGCTCTGTCCTACCAGACGGCTCCTCAGGTAGCGAGGCCTGAGCGGAGCCGGGGCCAGGGGAGGACTCGTCGAGTGGGTGCACGCCCTCCCATGACCACCCGTCCCCGGGCCCCTGCCCACAGGTTCTGTTCCTCCTCTCCTCCCCGCCAGGGGGGCCTGCCGCTGCTTTCTCTGTGGGCCACGGGGGGGGGGTGGGAGGCCTGTCGCTGCTTTCTCTGTGGGCCACGGGGGGGGGGCCTGTCGCTGCTTTCTCTGTGGGCCACGTGGGGGGGGGCCCTGTCGCTGCTTTCTCTGTGGGCCACGTGGGGGGGGGCCTGTCGCTGCTTTCTCTGTGGGCCACGTGGGGGGGGGCCCTGTCGCTGCTTTCTCTGTGGGCCACGGGGGGGGGCCTGTCGCTGCTTTCTCTGTGGGCCACGTGGGGGGGGGCCCTGTCGCTGCTTTCTCTGTGGGCCACGGGGGGGGGGGCCTGTCGCTGCTTTCTCTGGGCCACGGGGGGGGGGCCCTGCCGCTGCTGCCGTTTGAGCCACTTTGCAGCAGGTGGTTGATACAGAGCAGGTTCCCACCCGTGCGTTCTGAATGAACACCAGCAGTTGGCAGGACTTTCTTCTCCTCGACAAGCAAACACCATCACCCCCCCAGGTGTGGACGCCTGTAGTTCCCTAGTGTTAACGGCTCAGCTTCTCCGTGGGCGGGTCTGTATGCCACTTCCAGGCCGAAGCCGCTCCCGGCAGCACTGGCACCTGGGCTGGGGCAGGCGGCGCAGAGGACGCCCGTGCTGGTGCCAGCTACACAGAAAGCAGCGAGGGAAGTGCCGCCCTTCCTCGCGCGGCCCTGCCGTGGGGTCCAGGCTGCAGCGGAGGGGAGGACGATGGCGAGGCGAGTGCAGGCCCCTCTGGCTCCATCACCAAGGAAACCAGTTAGGGCCCTGGGACCACTGCTCTGCGCTGGGCTGGGGCTCCCCGTGGGCGCAGCCATCCCGGGGGCCGGGGTGCAGGCAGGGGCCTCGCTGGGCACTGGCACCGCTTCGGGATGAGTGGTCAGCGAGCGGGCTCCTGTGGGACAGCCGCTCCTCTGGCTCCTAATGCAGGTTGTGCCTCCCGTGCACACACTTGTTTCTGTGAGCCCTGCCGCGTGTCAAGGGGGTGCGGTGGCTATGAAATGAGGGCCCCAGAGGGGAAACCAAGGCACGTTCAGCCGAGGACCGGCTTGTGTGCACATCTGTCTGTCGCATGGTGGTAGGAGTCCCATCTCAGCCGTAAGCACTGAGGGAGGCTTTCCCCACGTCCTCAGTGGCACCTCAGCTCCCAGGGCTGTGTCACTCCCCAGGGCCTCTTGGGACCGGGGGAGGGAGGGGTAGGGGAGGGGCGCTCAGTTCTCAGTCGGGCCTGGTGCTTGTGGGCCTGGTGTCTGCTGGGTGGGAGGCGGGTCTGGCCTCCCTGCAGCCTCCCGAGGCCGGGGTCCCCGGGCAGCCTGCCTGGGTGTGGGCTGAGCTGCTTGGGTTTGGAGCCTGGTTGTCAGGTTGAAGCCAGCCCCCTGCCCGGGAAGTCCGGGGGGAGCCGTGGTTTCCTCTTTCTCAAGTCGCTCCTCATGCTTTGCAAGTGGCAGCGCTGCTCCGACTGAGGGCTCCAGGCCGGGCGCGTCTGTCTGGAGGAAGCTGGGCCAGGCTGGGGTTTCCACAGCTGGGAGCTGGGCGCAGCGGTTTCCTCTCGTGCAGGAGCCGGGGCCGGGAGGCGCGGTGAGGCCAGGCACGTAGGCGGCTCTGCCAGAGACGCCTGCCCTTCAGGAGCTGGAGCAGGGCCCCGCGGCAGGAAGCGGGGATTTGTTTTCCTCCAGCAGCAAACGTGACCTCGGGGGCGAGGCTGGGAACTCAGCGTGTGCTGCCTGCCTGGCAGCGCGGGGCGCACTGAGAGCCCCTGGCCCCGTGGCCCTCACCGCTGCCTGCTGCCCTGGCTCTCTCGTGAGGGGCCAACGGGATGAGGAAAGCGGTCGGGCTGGGCACTTAGGCCGAGTGTCAGTCATCACCGGATCCGCTGTGCCACCCGGGCCTCTCGCCCAGCCTCCCAAGCGCCCCTGGGTGCGTGTGAGAATCACATGGCACACCCCTGTAGGGTGCTCGGGACATGGTTCCCATCCCTGTCCCCGCTGCTGCAGCCCAGCACCTTGGACAGGTCACTTCCCTGGACAGGTTCCCCCCTACTGGCTGCTTCCTGGGACTGAGATGGGGTGGAAGTGCAGGCTGGCTCGGACCCTCTCTTCCCAGTGCCCGCGAGGCTGCAGGGCTGTGGGACGTGCACCCAGGTTCCTCCAGGTGGGGAGGGCAGCTCCAATGTTTGCCACCGATGGCAGCGATCTGCGGGTGGGGGTTGGGGGCGTGGAGGAAAGGGCCAGGCACGGGCACAGCCAGGCCTTGGGCGTGGCCCAGCCCCGTGCTTGCTCCAGAGGCCATGTGGCGCCCAGACTCCTCCGCCTCCTCGGCATTCTCCTGAGAAGACCAGCGTGTTGCTCATGTGTTTCCCTCCTTCTCCGCAGAACATCGACATTACAAACTTCAGCAGCAGCTGGAACGACGGGCTGGCCTTCTGTGCCCTCCTGCACACGTACCTGCCAGCCCACATTCCGTACCAGGAGCTCAACGGCCAAGACAAGGTGAGGCAGAGCCCCCCATCGCTGGGCCACGCGCGGCTCTGGTGGCCGGCCCCTGCTCTTATTCTGGCCCTAGAGCATCAGTGCTGAGCCAGCCTCACCCTCCTCGGGCGGGCATTTGCGGGTAATGACTTCCCCGGCGGAGCCGCCCGCCCTTCCCGGGCGACATGTAAGATCAAGGGCTTCACGAGCACTGGCAGAGGGAGGTGCCCAAGGTGTGAGCAGCACCCACCGTCCCAGCCCGTCTCCGCCCCACCAGGCCCAGGATGGCTGAAGCAGAGCCCCGCGGACCAGGCAGTGGTCTGAGCGTCCCGTCAGGCAGCTGCTTGGGGACAGGTCAGGGGACAGCTCTCCTCCGGCCCCTGCGCACCCCACCTTCAGCCCCTCGTGCCCTTCAGACAGCCTTGAAGTTCCCACAGGGAGGAAATTCTCAACAGGGGCTTATCTCTGTTCAGCGTTTGGGGCTCCGGTGGCTGAGGGCTGATGGTTGGGAGTGACCTTTTCTGTAGTGAGAAGGCACACGTGCGTGGCCGGGCCTGTGAGGGGCGGTCAGCACCTTGCGGGCCCGGCGTCCAGCGGGGTCCTGAGGACTCGCCTGGATGTGCTTTGGTGGCACGTGGAGGCCGGCTGCCCCAGCGCACCCGGTGCAGACCCTCACACAGTCTCTTTTGCAGCGAAGGAACTTCACCCTGGCCTTCCAGGCGGCGGAGAGTGTCGGCATCAAGTCCACCCTGGTGAGCCCCCGCCCCCAGTCCCGCCGGGGCCCCTTTCTGTGAGGAAGCGCTCGTTCCTCGTGAAGGGAGATGCCTGTGGGCGCCGCGTCCCGGGCCCCTGGTAGAAAGGGAGCAGGCGTCCAGCCTCTGAGGGGTGATGGGCTTAGCCCAGAGGCCTCCGAGGCCTGCCCAGCCCGAGAGGTGCCAGGGAACTCTAACCAGGCCTTCCCTTCTCTGCCAGGACATTAATGAGATGGTGCGAACCGAGCGGCCCGATTGGCAGAACGTGATGCTGTACGTGACGGCGATCTACAAGTACTTCGAGACCTGAGCACCCCCGACGGCCCCGGCCACAGGCGCCACCAGCACCATTCGCTACGCCCATGAAGCTTTCAGCAACTCCAGGCGGCCCCAGCGTGCGAGCCTGCAGCCCAGGCCTCCGGGGCGGGAGAACTCGGGCCTGGGTGGCCAGACTCCAAGCAGGCTCCTCCCCTTGGCCTGTCCCGTCAGCAGTCAGCGTGGGCCCAGACGCCACGCATGCCCGTCGGCGCTGAGTTTCCCCGGAAGAGAACGCTGAGCTGTGAGGCTGGGCGTGTAAACCGAGGCGCGTGCACAGCTGCACGGGGAGGGCAGCTCCGGGGTAAAGCTTCCGCCAGCTCTGCCCCCAGGGCAGCTTCCTGCTCCGGCACCGAGTGGGCCCCGCTTGACGTGGGCTTGGTTTCCAGGGGTGTCGCCCAGCAGCGGGGCGCAGGGCTGTCCCGCCAGCACCGTGCAGTTCTCAGACGGAGCCGGCGGTGATGAAGTCGGGCTCCCCCGCCCTCTGCTGCCGCCGGGCCCCCGATGCGGGAGACAACCGCTCCTCCGGCCTTGAAGGGGCGTGGAAACTCAGCTGTGACTTAAAAGACCTGATCGTAAGGAATTCTCTAGTTAAAAAATGTGGTTTTTTTCCCATGAGCAATATCGAGGGAAAGTAGCTCCTGTTGTGTTAGCACCAAGGTTACCTGGTTTCCTAAGCCTGGAGATGAAGCACAAACTGGACGTCAGCGTGGCGACAGCGGAACGAAGGTGGACGCGGCAGGAGAAAACGGGACGGCTCGCAGGGGCCCGGGCGGCGGAAGGTGGTCACTCCGCGCTGCCTGCGTGCAGCCTCCTGGGTGGAACGGGAGGAAGTGCCTTAACTCCTGCGAGGGGAGCTGCCGCCCGGAGGCCCAGGCCCTGGCCGGGCAACGCGGTCACGTCCCAGGCCACAGGCAGCCTTGCGACCCCCCTTCTGCAGTTTGAACCAAAGCCTTGCTCCCCCGGGCATTCTGTCCTGTTGGCGCGACTCTGGGGGGACTCGGTCCTTCCTGGGACGGGGAGCCCAGGTCTCACGAGCACGGGCGCAGGAGCCGGGGTCGGATGCACCCGTTAGCACCTGGGAAGTCGCAGGGGAAGCAGGCTCGCTGCCCCAGCCACGCTGCCAGGAGGGGCACACGGAAGGCCACCCGCCGGCCAGCGGGCCCGGGTCTGCATTCGAGCACGCTCTCGACCAGGAGCGGGGCGTGTCTGTAGCCGAGAAGAGAGTGATGGTGACGGAGCAGCTGGGCGTGTGTGCGGCTCGCTGGCCGGGTCACAGGTGGCTGTGAGTCTCCTGCCCTGGCTGCTTGGCTGCTGCCTGGGGGGCTTTCTGTAAGACGCCCCCATTGGGCTAAGAAAGGAGAAGCCGGGGCGCAGAGCCCAGCCCCGCGGACACACAGCCCTGAGTGGGCGCCTCCCGCCCGTCCTCCCGCCGGTGCTGCTCCTGGTGGCTCTGTGGACAGGCGCTGCCGCGGGGCCTTTACCACCCACCTGGGTCTTCCCCTTCCCTCACGGGCCTGTGGGCACCCGTGTCCGACTGCAGCCTGCGCGTTGTTATTCATGACATTGGGGGAGCCTCTAGTCCAACGAAGAGGAGACTTTCTTGGTCTGCAGTTCACACCTGCCCCTTCCCAGCCGGGTGAGCCGGCCCTGGCAGCTCAGGCAGCACCTGCTGATGGGCTGTGCACACATGGCCGGCCACATCCAGGTCATGCCCTGGGGCCAGTGGGAAGGCAGAGGGTGGCCAAGAGGAGAGTTGGCCCCAGGCCCGCCTGTCTAGGGGTCCACCGTCTCCCTGACAACAGGTCATGCAGGGGCACCTGGCCGGGCTGCCCACATCTGCACGTGGGTCTGCAGAAGATTCCAGAAGCGTGACTTCGTGCTTTTTTCCAATAGGATCCTATCACAGAGTGGTTCTGGGTGGTCACACGCCTAAGCGTGACCCTCAGGTGCCGTAGCCCAGCGGCACGTCACAAGAAGCTTCCAGAAAGCCGGTTGCCTCGGTTCCTTCCGATCATGAGCATCCCCGCGAGGGGCCAGGGCTGGCGCTGGCGATGCTTTTACTTTGTTGTATTAAATGCTCTTAAATGTATTAAAGTTGTTGAAACACGTCCGGCTGGGCTGTCCTAGTGCACAACCTCCTGCTGCCCTCTGACCTCACGTGGGAGGGACCCCGGCCGCCTCCTGGGACTGGCTGAGAGGGGACCTGGGAGAAGCTGGGGCAGGTCGCACCCTGGGCTGCGCTGCACAGCCACGGCCTTGGCCGATGCCCAGGCCCAAGGTGGGGCCTGCCCAGGTAAGTCAGGTCCTGAGACCCCAGGAGCACCAAGCTGTCCTGTAAGATGGGGGCCCCCGCCTCAGAGAGAAACCTAGAGATCGACGATTATACCCCCAGGGGCACCCAACCAGTCAGGCCTTTTTCTCCTGCATCTTGCGTGGAATGATTATGGATCCGTGAGCACAGCCGGGAACGGCACAGCATCTTGGCACGGTGCACATGTCACATGTCACACGTGCGTGTGAGCCGCCTCCCACACTGCATGGTGACCCGGGGCACCCTTCCTGGGCCTGCACCCCCTCCCCAGAGTCGGGGGTCCATCCGGAGGCCCAAACCCCACCACCTGAGTTGGGGGGTGACAGTGCTGTTGAGCCCGAGGTGGCCTGACTCCAGAACACAGCGCCCCCATCCTGGGGTTGGGGCTGGGAGTGGGGGCACCAAGCCAGGACCGCAGGGCTCTGGCTCCTCGCCACCCCCCGGGCCAGGCTGTGGCTGCGACCAGGAGCTCGTGTGCACTTGGTGTGCGCAGCCAAACTGCTGGCCCTGCACGGAGTGGACCCGGTGGCAGCGGCAGAGGGGACCTCGCCTGCACCCGGGCAGTGGGGGCAGCACTGGCTGGCGTAGCTGATGCCCCTCGGGTGGGGGTGCCCCCCAAACACCTTCCTGTTGGATGACTTCCTGGCCTCAGAGGCGGTGGTGCCCTCGGGCGACAGGTCACCTGGCTCCCGGCAGAGCTGACCCAGGGCTCCACTTCCTTCAGCCTGACACTCTGCCCGTCCCAGGGCAGCACTTGTGGGAAGGGAATCCTTTTAACCTTGACTTAGGGAAGGTTCTAGATCTAGAACCTTTTTGGGCCATGGCTTTGGTGAGTAAAAGCAGGAAGGCATTCCTCAGGGCGGAGAGAGATCCAGAAAGGACCCCACACCCTGTCCATCGCCTCGGACTGGGCGCGCACTGTGTCCTGGTGGCACACAGCCAGCGCTGACCCCGGCCTCACCCGCCAGCCACACAGGTCTGCCACCAACATCGGTGACAGGTCAGGGCTGTTCCCACCTCTGCAATAGGGGAACCCCGAGAAGGGGTCTCCTGCTGGACTCTGCTCCCACCCCCCTGCTCTCTGAAGTGGATGGGGTGGGGCCTGGGGTAGGGGTGCAGGGGGGGTGGGCCTGAGGGTGGCGGCTGCTGCCAGTGGTGTCGGGGCTCCTGCTCAGGGCCACCCTTCGGGTGTTGAGTAGAGGCCCCAGCACGCACAGGGCTGTCCCTGCCCCCCACACAGCCCAGGCTAGGCCACGCCCCTGGCCTCAGTCTCCCATCTCTGTGGATGGATGCGTCAGATTCGCCTGGGGCTCGGGGTTCCTAGTGGGTCTGCTGTTTGAGCCCCGAAGCCAGGATGGGCTGGAGCATCTTCCCTGGGCGGGGCTGGGGGTGGCCTTGCTCCTGAGGCTGGGCGCTGGGGAGCGTCTAGGGGGTGAGTCGCCTTCTCGGGGCTGCCTTAGTCTGGACAGCCCCCCCTGCGAGCCCCCCACTTCCTCAATCCCGGAGCCCCAGGAAGTGCCCGGGGCCCCTCCCCTTTGGAGAAGTTGGTCAGCACCCACCCAAGCTTGGTCCTGGGTCTGGCATTTCTTTCTCCAGGAGGCGGCCCAGCTGGCCCTGCAGCAAACAATCCGGGGCCAGAGGCCACCCAGGTGCATCCTGGCCAGGAACAAAGGCCCCGGTGGGGAGGGGGCGGGGAGCCCAGCTGGTCCCGCCTGGCCCCAGGAGCCTGGCCTGGGCGGAAGGGCGGGTGCCCACAGCCTTCAGAGCCTGGGCTGGGGCCGCTGGAGCCGTGTAGGGGCATCCCGTGCCCACCGAGGGGCAGCAGGCCTGTGTCCCCACCATCGGGGCTCCCTCTCTCCTGAGAGTCTGGCCCAGGTGAAGACCCCTGCACAGGGTCTCTGTCCGCCTCTCAGGACGGGGCACAGGGCTGGCGAGAGTGCAGCAAGACCAAGGTCGAGGAAGTGACCTCAAGGCTCCGTGCCAGGGTGCGGCCTCTCAGGCTCTGGGGGGCGCAGCAGCAGGGGGTCTCCCAGGAGAGCCCGGAGCAGGTGTCAGTCAACTGTGCCCACGTCCACGTGTGTCTGCTTCCTGGCACCACTGAGCCGGAGGATCCCTGGGCAATGGCTACACCGGAGGCCTGGACCAGGTGTGTGACGGACAACAGAGGACCATGGGAGCAGCCCCTTCCCTATGGGGCGGGGCCTGGCTCTCCCTCCCGGGGACACGGGTTCTGGGGCCACTCTGGCGCGAGGACACAGCTGCCCAGGCCTGGGGAACCCACACCGATGTGGAGGGCTGTCCGCTGGGCCCCAGGGGGGAACGCTGAGGGCTTTGGCACTCTGGCCCCGAGGGTGGGGAATGGCCAGTGTGGGGCAGGTGTGGCCTGGCCACACGCGAGGTGGTCTGGGTGGGAAGGGCATTGGGCCCCAGAATGAAAATGGCAGGGAGAGCATCACTGGGCCCATGTGGGGGGGGGGGGGGGACAAGAGTGACCCTGAGGTTGGCCGGGTCTCTGCCCCATGAGCCCCCATGGCCCCTTCCGGGCCCCCGGTGACGCGACACGCTGCGCCTCGCCTGCTTGTTGAGTTAGGACTTGAATGACTATGGGCCCAATCAGGGGGCAGGGGGCTGTCCCCCGGTTGGCGTTTATCCTGCTCGGAGTCCCAGCAGCAGGGCCCCCAGCCGGTACCCCCCGGCCTGACGCTGGCTCAGGAGGTGCAGGGCAGAAGCAAGACAGCCCACGTTACAGGGGAGGCGAGGCCGGGGGAGCCCACACAGGCAGCCCAGCCAACGCAGGGCAGTGTCCCCACCCGGGGCTGGGGTGCTCCCTCACGGGGTGAGCAAGAGCCTGAGGAGATAGGGGTGGCTCCTGCGGTCCCCCATCCCCCTCAATGGAGGGTGTGGGGGGTGGTATATGCAGCTGGGACTCCACAAAGGCCTCGATGGGGGGGGGGGGGGGAGTTGGGACAGGGCCAGGCTGGAGGTCACAGGGCAGTCCCCATGAGAACACTGTCAGGCGCCTCGCCCCACCAGGTGTGTTGGGGCCCTGGCTTCTCCCCGTTTGCCCTCCTCACCCCTCCCCTGCCTCAGAGGGAGGACCCACAGGACATTCATGGAGGGCGACCTGGCCCCATGGGCACAGGCGCCAGGCACAGCCCGGGAGCTGCCAGGGGACCAAGGCTGCCAGGAGTCAGGGCAAGTGGTGGGCACAGTCCAGGCTCCGGCTCCAGATGTGCGGCCAAGCACCTGCACCCCACTTCCCACCTGCTGGCTCCTCCCAGCTGCTGTGCAGGGACACCCCCTGGCCTCAGGCCTGGGGTCCAGCGGCCCTGGGCAGGCCCCTCCGCCCTGGCCTCTCCCTGGGACCCTGTCGCCCAGGACAGTCAGTGCAGCGTCCTGCAGCCCTGGGCCACCCGCGCGCAGCTGGTGCCTCCGCCACTCCAGTCTCCAGAGGCGAGGGTCAAAGGTCGTCCCTTGCTCGCTGGGCTGGGGCCGGATGTGAGGTTGTTGCGATTTGCAGTCTCCAGGACATGGGCCTGGGGCTTGCAGGGGGCGCCGGGGTGGGGATTGGGGGGGGGGGGGGCACCTCTCCTGGCCCCAGGGTCGCGATCGGAGCAGAAAGTGACTCCCCGCCCTTTGCTCCGGGACCTGAGCGCGGAGGGGCCCTTGGAAACGGGGGCCAGAGGCATCCTCTGAGCCGAGGGGCCACCCCCACTTACACCCCAGCCCAACGATATTCGGGGAGCGAGGGCCAGGCTGGGGGGCAGGCGGGGGCGTCCCGAGGCCCCGAGCTGGGCGGGGAGGCGGGGCGGCCTCCAGGCCACGGAAGGGTGTCGGAGGAGCGGGCACTGGGAGGGGATGGCACAGGCACCCCGCCAGCAGGACTGCGGGGCCTCCAGGGGGAGAGCGGGGGCCTCCGGGCGGGGCGGGGCGTCTGGGGCCGAGACACGTCGCAGGGGCGCGCGTGTGGCGCTGGCGGAGCCGACGGCGCCCCGGGGAGCAGGCCGGGCTCCCCTGTGGCATCGCCGGGCTTTCGGGCGGCGGCACCGCCCCCCAGTCCCCCCGCGATTGGGGCCTCGGTTTCCCCGCGCGGCGGGCGGGGCGGGGACAGCGCAGCCTCGGAGACGCCTGCAGGGGGCGCCCGTGAGCGGCGCGGCCGGAGCCGGAGCCGGAGCCGGAGCCGAGCGGCAGCCGAGACAGCGGAGCGGCGCGCAGCGGCAGGTCAGCCGGGTCCGGGTCCGGGGTCCGGGGTCCGGGTCCGGGTCCGGGGTCCGGGGTCCGAGGGTCGCGGGCGGCGGGGGCAGGGCCGGCGGCTCCGGTCCCTCCCACTTGGGTGCCCGCCGCTCCGACCTCCCCACCCGCCGCCGGGAGGGAGCCCGCGGGCTGGGGTCCGGGTGGCGGGGGCGGGCGGCTGCGGGTCGCACACCCTGAGCCCTCGGGCGCCCCGACTGTCGGGACGGTGCGCGGCGGGGGCGGGCGGACGGGCGCGGGCCCCGGGCGGCGAGGCACCGGGTCGGCGTCCGGACCCGCGGGTGACGGGGAGCCGCCCTCGGTCCGTCCGGGCGCCCGGCCGGGGCTGGGGGCGCAGAGCGCGGCTCGGGGCCGGCGGGCGGGACGCGGGACCGGGGCCTCGGGAGGCGGCGCTGTCGGAGGGGGCGCCGTGGGCACCCGCCGGGCACCCCGCACGCCCGGGGCGGCGAGAAAGCGGAGCGCGGGCCCGTCCCGTGAACGGGGTGGCGGGGACCGGACTTCGGGGTCCAGGAGGGGCCGGGGGCGGGCGGGTGGGGGCGCGCCCTGGGCGCTGCCCGGCGGAGGGGGGCTGGCGGCGGTGGGCGCGGGGCAGAGCCCGCTGAGTCCCGGCGCGGCCCCGCTTCCCTTCCACTCCCCCGACTGCGATGGGGGTCGGGGCTCCCACATCGGGTCTGGGGCCAGCGGGGGAGAAGCCAGAAGCGGGGAGGGGGTCCCCCCTCCCCAGGCCCGTCCACCCGGGGTCCTGAGCTCCCCTGGCCCCTGCTGTGCAGCCCAAGCTGCACCTCAGTCTGTCACCTCTGCGCCCCCAGTCTGTCACCTCCGCGCCCCCAGACTGTCACCTCTGACCCCAGAGCTGTCCTGTCGGCTCCGGGCGGACAGGAGCTCTGGGCACAGGGGCCGGGAGGGTGCGGGGTCTGGGGCTGCCGGCCTGGTGCCCCCTGGGGACTGGTGTGCGACCTCCCTGGTTCTGGCCCCTGAAGGGCAGGTCCCCCCCCTCCTGGTCCTGCAGCCCGGGAGCCCCTCAAGGACAATGGCTGCTCCAAGGACAACCAGTGGACCCGAGAGCTCGCCGCCCCCCCCTGGGTTCGGGCCTGACGGGGTCACTGCCCCCCCCATCCCGTCTTCTCAGGAGCAGCCTCGCCAGGCGGAGGGAGAGCTGGGCACGGCCGCGGGGGCAGGGGCAGCGGGCAGACCAGGGGCAGGGGCTGTGCTTGCCCTGGGCCCGCGGAGGGGCTGTGAGCCCCATGGGGTCAGGGGACGCCACAAGGGCCGCTGCCAGAGGGACCTGTGGCGTCAGGGCCTGGCACCCCGCGAAGTTCAGGGTCCCTGGTGGTCCGGACAGTGCCCGCTGTGTAGACCAGTGATGGCGAACCTACGACACGCGAACTCATTTTTTTGGTTGATTTTTCTTTGTTAAATGGCGTTTAAATATATAAAATAAATATCAAACATGTAAGTCTTTGCTTTACTGTGGTTGCAAAGATCAAAACATTTCTATGTGTGACACGGCACCAGAGTTCAGTTAGGGTTTTTCAAAATGCGGACACGCGGAGCTCAGAAGGTTCGCGGTCGCGGGCGTAGACCGTGGTCGGAGGGTCTGCAGGGACCGTCGCCCGGAGGAGCTGGAAACGCCGACCCGCCGACCTAGGCGCCTGGCTTGTCGCCTGGCTTGTCAGCATCAGTTCCGACGACGCTGGAAGGTGTGCGCCGGAGGGGGGGGGTGGCCAGACCGACTGCGGGCGTGGAGGACGGGTGGGGAGAGGTTTGGGGGGGGTCGGGGTGCTGAGTTGACCGCAGAGTCAGGTGCCCAGTTACCAAAAGGGATGCGTCCTCGCCCCCGGGAAGGGGTCTGGGCCGGGGAAGCGCCGGCGGCCACCGGAGGGAGGGCTGCTGGGCAGTGGGTGCCCGGGGCGGTGGGTGCTCGGCCTCAGGCAGGTTGGCGATGGCGGGGGAAGGAGATGAGCAGGAGCTGGGGCTGGGTGGGAGCGGAGCCCTCAGGAGCCTGCTCTCTGGGCCGGGCGGGGGCCCTGCGTGGGGAGGGGCGGTGAGTGGTGGGAGGTCCCCAGCCCACAGTCCAGGGAAGGCCCGGGCTTGGCAGCCATGGAGCCTGCGGGGACAGGGGTCTGGGCGGAGGGAAGGGCAGCCTCCCCCTCCCCAGGGAAGGGGCCCAGCTTCCCCGGCCCCCAGGCCTTCCCTGCCACACGGCCGTGTTCTCTGCCTGGACGCCCCCCCTTCCCTGTCCTCGCAGGCCAGCGACGCCCCTGCTCGGAGAAGCCGGCCAGGCCCCTTTGGGCCCACACCCCTGCGGACCGGCCTGGGCAGGATGGCCGGCAGGGGCTGGGCTCCCACCTCCCCATGTCGGCAGCCCAGCGGTCACCGTGGGGGGCGGGGGGGGCGGGCGGGAGCATCACGTGGTGAGAGCCTCGGGGTCTGGGCTGGGGTCTCCGCCCTCGGCCCTCAGGGCTGCTGTCTGGCTCCCAAGTGGCCTCTGCAGACTGAGTGGGGTTCGAGGGTCCGTGGAGTGGGCCAGGCGGCACTTGGCACTGCCCCTCCCACAGCCCAGGCTCTGCTAGCCCCCCCCGCCCCCCCCCCCCGGCTCCTCTCCAGGCACCACAGGGCCCATCACCCTGCCCTTAGTTCCTTCTAGGGAGGCCTAGGTGTGCGCCCACCCCCGCCCCCGGCCACACAGAGGCGAAGGGTCTCAGGGGTGGACCATGGGTGGGGCCCCGTCTGGGCTCCTCCCGCTACAGGGTGGGCACCCAGCACCCTGTGCTGAGGACTGGCCCCTCGGAGAGGGTGTCAGGTGAGGCAGCCAGGGACGGGGTGAGTGGCCACCTCAGGCTGGGACGAGGGGGCCTGCAGCCTCTCTGGCATCTGGCCTGGACATGGGGGGTTGGGGGGACTCTGGGTGCCCAGTGGGGAGAAGGGAGCTGGGGAGGCCCTGCGCCCTGAGGGCTGACGATGGGGCGTCTCCTCGGAGGCCAGGCTCCGTGCAGGGGGCTGAATGCCCGCCCTGTTCCTGCCCACATCCTGCCCCTTGGGGCTGAGCACAGCCACCACACACCCAAGGGGCTGTGGGGGAGGAGGCACCCCTGGGTGCCTGCCCGGGGACCAGGCCCTGCCTGCACCGAGTTCCTGAAGTTGGAGCCACCAGCAGCCCTGCAGGGAGGGAGGGAGGAAAGAGGCGACCGTACTTGGTGGCTGCTCACACCTGCCAAGACCAGGGGGGTCAGGGGTCAGGGGGCCCCCAGGCCTAGGGTTCTGGGAGTCAGGGCAGGGCCAGGGCCGGCAGGTGGCTGTGGTTGGGAGCAGGAGCCGAACTGCCTGTTGCCCTCTGCACCCTCCCACGGAGCCCCCTGACCCTGTCGCTGCTCCTCGACCTGCCTTCCCTGCCCCGCGACTCTCCCGGGGACTCCGTCGCCTGGTGAGGTTCTGTGAGTTGCCCAGGGCGGCCGTCACACCCCACCTGCCCCGGAGCGCGTGCTCTCTGCCTCCGTCCCTCCCTCCAGCTTTCGCTTCTGAGATGAACGTCTCGCTGTGAGACGATGACGTGGTGCTGTTTCGTGGGTCACGTTTCGTGGTCCATACACCTGTCTCATTTCTGCCCGCCCATCCGTAGTCCTCGGGCTTGGTTATGAACGCTATTCCTTTCTTTATCTCTTTGACGATCCTCAGTGTCTTGGGCAATCGCCAGGGTGGCCGCTGGCCCTCAGGACACTCTCTTGGGGCAAATCCTTCGTCAAGGCCCCCTCCTGTCGGCTCAGGGCCCTGCTGGCACCAGGCTCAGCAGCAGGTGGCACAGGGCTCCCGGGGGCCGGCGGCTGCCTGGCGCTGAGTAGGCGCTTGGGAAACATCTGGGAGGAGAAGGTGGCACCGGAGTCCGAGGCCGGGACGCGGGAGCCCAGGAGCGGGCCCAGTGTGGCTGCGCCAGGTCTGAGTCGCCAGCGGGGCTCAGGCTGCCCTTAGCTGCCCCCAGGTCAGAGGTGTGGGGCCAGCAGGCTCCGGGGGCACAGCCACCATCTGGCTTGTGGACAGAAAGCCTCGCTAGCCCGACACACAAAGAGCCAGAATTGGGCCGGGAAAGATGTGGGTTTTGATGAAGTGGAGTTTTCATTAAAGCCGCCAGGCCAGCGAGGGCGAGGAGGAAGGCGGGACGCCGCGGCCGCCTCCCACGGGCGGTCCTTCCAGGCTCCTGCACGTGCCCCGGCATGTGCCTCCCGCGTGCGTGGGACAGCGCCTGACCCCGCGCCGGCCCCAGCGAGGGACCATCGCGGGGAAATGATACGTGATTAATATTCACTTTCTCCTCCCGGCTAGAGCAGAGGCTGGAGGATTACTTACCAGAGGTGGGCAAACTTTTTGACTCGAGGGCCACAATGGGTTCTTAAACTGGACCGGAGGGCCGGAACAAAAGCATGGATGGAGTGTTTGTGTGAACTAATATATATTCAAAGTAAACATCATCACATAAAAGGGTATGGTCTTTTTTTTTTCGTTTTATTCATTTCAAACGGCCGGATCTGGTCCGCGGGCCGTAGTTTGCCCATGGCTGACTTAGACGGACAGAGCCACAACATGGCCCACCCAGCCCCTCCCCACGCCCCGACCCCCCTGCGGCCGGGGGGCCTGGGAAGGGAGGGGAGGGAGAGGGCCCGGAGGCCCCAGGAACTCCCCGCTGCTGTTTCCCGGCCAGTTCCACCCAGTTACGCTCACGGTGAGGCCGGGCGAGGTCGTGAGCCTCTTTGAAGCTCAGCTCCTCGTCTGTAAGATGGGGTTCGCAGGACAGTGAACACACAGGACCCGACGCCGCCAGGCTGCACGGAGGGCTACGGGGGGCTGGGGTACAGCCCTTTGTCCAGGCAGGCAGCCCCTGCCACAGCTCAGGGTTCGGGGCCTGTGGGGCTGGAGACGCGTCTCAGACGGACTGGCCGTGTGCAGTGACTGCTGGTTCCTGTCCGTGACGTAGGAGTCGCCATAACTGGACTTAATCAGAGCGTTTACACCACAAACGTCTAGTAAAGGTCACAGTCATGGCACCTCCTCCCCCAGGCCTTCCCTCAGGGCCCTGGTGGTCCCTCCCGCCTCCGCCTCCCCCACTTCTCCCCCCACCCCCCAGCCTCCGGCTCTGTGCTGTGCTCACGCTGGGAGAGCCTGGTCCAGCGATGCCCAGGTTGTCCGTGGGCCAGGCCAGCCTTGCCTGGCACTTCTGGCCACATCTGCAAGGGCCTGCAGGACCGCTGTGGGAAGGATGGGGGCGACCCGCCGTGCAAAAGGGCGGCCTTTTAGGGCCCAGCTGGAGGGGCGTGTGGTGTGTTTTTAGCTCCTGGCAGCGTTGGCCTGGGCCAGGGGATCTGTGGCCTCCAGGGAGACTTGGGGTGGGGGCCCCGGGCCTGTGGACAGCAGGAAGGGTGTTGGTACCAGTGCTGCTCAACACGGCAGCCAGACGCAGAGGGGCGGGGGGGAGACCCTGAGGACTGCGGGGGGGAGGGGATACGCAGGGTGGCATGGGGCCGCTGGGCAGAGGGCTGGGAGTCAGCCTGGCATCCAGGGCAGGGGCCAAGGCTGGGACTGGGCAGCAGGCCTCAGCTCCTAAGAAATGTGGGGCGTGCTTTGGCCGGTGGGTGGCCGGTGGGTGGCCGGTGGGTGGCCAGGTGGGTGGCCAGGTGGGTGGCCGGTGGGTGGCCAGGTGGGTGGCCAGGTGGGTGGCCGGTGGGTCGGTGATGGTCCATCATCTGGATCCTGCGGTTCCTGGAGGAGAGGGACTCCTCGGCCCGTGTGCGGGGGCCTGCAGGCTTCCAGCCTCCTGTCCGGGCCGGCGGCAGGCGCTGCCCGTGCACACCTGGGCCCAGGGGAGCCGGGACTGGAGGGGGGGTGGTTGGCATAGAGGGGACCCCACGAACCTACATACGTGTGACCGGTTGAGACAGAGGCGGTGGGAAGAGGCACTGGCTCAGGGGGTCCACTGGGCGTTGGGTTGGGGATACCGAGCCCCCTGCCTCTGCTTCGGGGGTCAGTGACCCTCACATGGCCGTGGCCTTCTGACGCCGGGAAGCCCTTTCAGAACTCTATTTCCTCCTCCTAGAATCAGGGGCGAGCGCTGACATGGCCCCGAGGCTCTGCGGGTCCACCCTCCGCACGTTTCTTGTCCACAGTCTCCCCCACGTCCTGGCTGGGCCCCATCTCTGCCAGGCGCCCACCGCGGCACCGCCAGGCAGCCGAGCAGGTTGGGAGCGGGCGTGGGAGGAGGGAGGTGAGCTGCTGCCCCGCCCCACGTGCAGGCAGCGGGCGGGGGCTGCAGGGGCGGCTCCCGGGGGGGCCTGCTCCACCCCCTGGGGCGGCAGGAGGGCTCAGCTGCCGCGGGGGGTACAGGACCAGACAGCCCCGCTCCTTCCAGGGAGCACAGGCCTCCAGCTGCTCCGACCTGGGCCGTGCGGGGAGGGAGTGCCAGGCCGGCTGAAAGGGAAGGTGGGGGCCTGGGAGAGCGGGGGTGGGGGGCGGTGAGGGGGCCTCTCTGGGTGGCTGTAGGGGGGCAGCGAGCTCAGGGACCAGGGACTCACAGGCTGCCATGGGTTTGAGAAGCTCAGGTGAGGGACGAACGTGTGTGACTTCACTTTGAAAGGTTCTGCTCCCTGGGCTGAGGCCTCTGGGGGGAATCCAGCGGTGCCCCCCGCACCCCTGCAGCGGCCCAGCCCCTCACGAGGTCTCTCCCCTGCAGGTGCTGGGGGAACCCTGACGCCGAGCTGAGCGAGATGCCGCCGGAACCCCCGGGGGCGGCCTGGTTCCTGGAGACACCGCCGAGTCAGCCTCGCAGAAGCCCTTAGGGAGCCCCCCAGGCGCGCTCGGGGCTCCTGCGGGGGGTGGGGGCGGGGGGCGCGGGGCCTGGGCGCCGGCTGCGCTGCAGCGATGGACCGTGAGCTGGCCCGGCCCGCGTGCTCGCCGCCCCCGTGCGCCCGCAGCCATGTCCGGCATGGACTCCTCGGTGTACATCGTGGTGGAGCTGGCCATCGCCGTGCTGGCCGTGCTGGGCAACGTGCTGGTGTGCTGGGCCGTGTGGCTCAACAGCAACCTGCAGAACGTCACCAACTTCTTCGTGGTGTCGCTGGCGGCGGCCGACATCGCCGTGGGGGTCCTGGCCATCCCCTTCGCCATCACCATCAGCATCGGGTTCTGCGCCGCCTGCCACAGCTGCCTCTTCCTCGCCTGCTTCGTGCTGGTGCTCACACAGAGCTCCATCTTCAGCCTCCTGGCCATCGCCATTGACCGTTACATCGCCATCCGCATCCCCCTCCGGTGAGCGCCTGGCGCAGAGGCGGCCGGGCCCGGGTCTGGCCGGTGCCGGTGGTCGGGGTGAACCCACGGTCGGTCGGGGTTTTGTCTGTGGGGTCAGTGTGTGGAGGTGACAGGGCCACGGAGCTCCCCCTGGGGCTGCCCGGGCTTGGCACGTCGGCGTACCAATCTAGCTGGTCCCTGTGGGCACCGGGCACCCTGGCCCTTCCCAGACTCGCCCGGGGGAGGAGGCCGCCGTGCTCCGGCTGGTGGCAGGGGAGCGTGGCCCAGGCCTGGGCAGTGTGCTCACACAGTGGGGGCGGGGAGGGGGCACCCCGGGAAACCACAGGATCTGAGCTAGAAGCCTGCCCCCCTCCGCCAGCTCCTCGGCCAGCTGCTGGGGGGCAGGTCTGAAGTCTGCACAGGAGGAGAATGACCCGGAGGGGAAGTAACTGGCCGGAGGCTGCAGGAGTCATTTGCATATGAACCTCTATGCAAATTCTGTGCTCCTGGGGCCACCAGTGTGTGTGTTGGGGGAACCAGCCGTGCGTGGGGGAGAGGGGGAGCTGGCGGAGGGGGTTTTACGGTGAATCTTTTGTGAAGGGACTCCAGTCGCGGGTGCAAGGGAATACTCCGGGAGGCTGCGTTTACGGGTGGCCTCCATCTCCCCAGCCAGGGATGCGGCTGGAAGTGTCCTCCCGCCTGGGGCCTCCTGCCACCTCCCTGCCCCTGGCTCCCGGGGAGGTCTCGGAGGATGGGGGCACCCCAGCCCCAAGCAGGTGGGGCGTCGGCGGGAGCAGGAGGAGCGGCTGGATGAGCAAATGGAAAGTTAGTGTCGAGCCCAAGGGGGCCCTTAGCGGTCATTTCCTCTTCTTTTCTGGACGGGAAACGGAGGCCCAGGGAAGAGGCCAGCTCGGGGCCACACAGCGTGCGAGCGGGCAGCACAGCTGGGCCGGGGCCTGGGAACCAGCAGGCCTGCCACCCACTGCGACTCCGTCCTTGGGGAGCTGGTGGCCCTGGTCCCCCAGAGCCCGCCCCAGCTCAGCGTTCCTGTCCCCCAGCTCAGAGGAGAGCGGGCAGCCTCGTCACGCGGCTCAGATGAGGAGAGGACTGGCCGTGTGGCACAACAGGAGGCTGCGCCAGGAGAGCCCAGGACCCTGGTCCAGCTAGAGGGCCGGCCTCAGTCAGGGCAGCATGCAGGTCCAGGCCGCGAGGGTGGCTGCAGACCAGGGCGGGTCTGTGGGCTCCCAGGTGGACGGAGAGCGGAGTGTTGGCTCCCACTGCAGGTCAGGCTGCACGTGGGCTGGGCCTGGCTGGGCCTGATGGGAAAGCCCAGCCGCACTTTCACACCCCCCCCCACCCCCCACCCCCGCAAAGGGCAGCAGCAGGCGCGAGAGCGAGGCTGTGGTCGCCACGGAAGGGCCCTGGCTGCCTTTTCCTGCTCCTGGTTTCTGGGGTAGGAGGAGGGGATGTGCTGTGTGACCCTGGAAAGTCCGCTGTCCCCCTCTGGGCCATGTCCTCGTCTGTAAGAGGGACAGGCCTCTCTGATCTGAGCTCACAGAGGGGGTGAGGGTCCAGGGAGCGGCTGAGTGGTGAGCCCCGGGGGGGGGATTCGGCTGTTTCTTGAGCTTCGGGGGGTTCTGAAGGGGCCCTGGATGCAGCATGAACCTGCCGCCATGTCCTCCGACTCCCACCACCTTCCGAACAGGCCCTAGCTCCGCCCACACCTTGGCCTTTGCGCTCTGCCTGCCGAAGGCCCAGGTGGGGCTCCTGGTCCTTGGCGCCCACAGAGGTGAGGAGGGGCTGCTCCGCCTTCCCCTGGGGCAGAGAGCGCACGGCTGCCTTTGACCCCCGTGGGCACTGTGGCCGCTGGGCTGGGGTGACCCTCCTGGGCAGAGGCCGGGGGAATGAGCCTGTGGGCTCCACCAAGCAGAGGTGGCGGAGCAGGCAGGCAGGGGTGGGCGGGGCCAGCCCAGGGCTCACAGTGTAGGGCAGATGTACTCTTGGGGTGAGCCCTCCCTGTGGGTAACGAAGCCCCCAGGAAGGGGCAGCTGTGAGCTGGGAGACCATGGAGGCAGCGGGTCCTCCGCCCCGCTTCCTGACCCCTCTGGGTTCCCTCCCCTGGGTGGTCCCATCACTCCTCCCCCAGGTGGTCCCCAAGAGGCCACCATGTGACGCTCTAAGTCCAGGGGCTGTGGCAGTTGGGGCTTCGGTTCAGCCATTGTCCCCTTTGGGCCAAATTCTGTTCCATTGTCCCCTTTGGGCCCAGTGCTGCTCCGTTGTCCCCTTAGGGCCCAGTGCTGCTCCATTGTCCCTTTTGGGCCAAATTCTGTTCCATTGTCCCCTTTGGGCCCAGTGCTGTTCCGTTGTCCCCTTTGGGCCCAGTGCTGTTCCGTTGTCCCCTTTGGGCCCAGTGCTGTTCCGTTGTCCCCTTTGGGCCCAGTGCTGTTCCGTTGTCCCCTTTGGGCCCAGTGCTGTTCCGTTGTCCCATTTGGGCCCAGTGCTGTTCCGTTGTCCCCTTTGGGCCCAGTGCTGTTCTGTTCTCCCCTTTGGGCCCAGTGCTGCTCCGTTGTCCCCTTTGGGCCCAGTGCTGCTCCGTTGTCCCCTTTGGGCCCAGTGCTGCTCCTTTGTCCCCTTTGGGCCCAGTGCTGTTCTGTTCTCCCCTTTGGGCCCAGTGCTGCTCCGTTGTCCCCTTTGGGCCCAGTGCTGCTCCGTTGTCCCCTTTGGGCCCAGTGCTGTTCCGTTGTCCCCTTTGGGCCCAGTGCTGTTCCGTTGTCCCCTTTGGGCCCAGTGATGCTCCATTGTCCCCTTAGGGCCCAGTGCTGCTCCATTGTCCCCTTAGGGCCCAGTGCTGTTCTGTTCTCCCCTTTGGGCCCAGTGCTGTTCCGTTGTCCCCTTTGGGCCCAGTGATGCTCCATTGTCCCCTTAGGGCCCAGTGCTGCTCCATTGTCCCCTTAGGGCCCAGTGCTGTTCTGTTCTCCCCTTAGGGCCCAGTGCTGCTCCGTTGTCCCCTTAGGGCCCAGTGCTGTTCCGTTGTCCCCTTTGGGCCCAGTGCTGCTCTGTTCTCCCCTTTGGGCCCAGTGCTGTTCTGTTGTCCCCTTTGGGCCCAGTGCTGTTCTGTTCTCCCCTTTGGGCCCAGTGCTGCCCCGTTGTCCCCTTTGGGCCCAGTGCTGCTCCTTTGTCCCCTTTGGGCCCAGTGCTGTTCCGTTGTCCCCTTTGGGCCCAGTGCTGTTCCGTTGTCCCCTTTGGGCCCAGTGCTGTTCTGTTCTCCCCTTAGGGCCCAGTGCTGTTCCGTTGTCCCCTTTGGGCCCAGTGCTGTTCCGTTGTCCCCTTTGGGCCCAGTGCTGTTCTGTTCTCCCCTTAGGGCCCAGTGCTGCTCCGTTGTCCCCTTTGGGCCCAGTGCTGCTCTGTTCTCCCCTTTGGGCCCAGTGCTGTTCTGTTCTCCCCTTTGGGCCCAGTGCTGCTCCGTTGTCCCCTTTGGGCCCAGTGCTGCCCCGTTGTCCCCTTTGGGCCCAGTGCTGCCCCGTTGTCCCCTTTGGGCCCAGTGCTGTTCCGTTGTCCCCTTTGGGCCCAGTGCTGCCCCGTTGTCCCCTTTGGGCCCAGTGCTGCCCCGTTGTCCCCTTTGGGCCCAGTGCTGTTCCGTTGTCCCCTTTGGGCCCAGTGCTGTTCAGCTCCTGGGACCTGGTCCAGGGCCTCAAGCCGAGGGCTTTCTTTGGAACAGAATGAACCTGGTGGTTTTAAACATGAGTAACGCCTGGAGCACTAACACAGCCTGAGGAACAAAAGGGTGGAACTGCCCCGGCCCGCGCCCCCTGGCCCTTCCGGAAGCAGCTCTGCTCGGGCAATGCCGTTTGTCTCTGTCCCCACGAGGGGCTTCCTTTGCGGCCACAGTGGACAGACCAGAGCTGTCCAGCCCGTGTCCCGGAGCCTCAGGCCGGGCCCGCATCCCAGGCTCACTCCTGCCTGCTGTCGTGAGGCTCTCTCCCTTCCCAGCAGCTCCCCTTCTGTCATTACCTCTGCTGCAGGCGGGCAGCAGGCGGGCAGCTGCTGGAGAACCAAGAGCAAATCCCCCAAGCAGGTGGCCTCCAGGGCCCTCCACACCATCCCCATCACGGCTCATTTCTGCTTGATTGTCTCCAATGACGGAAGCTCACTACCGCCTGGGGCGGCCCATTTCTCCCGTGAGCAGCTCAGCCGAGAAGCTCTTGCCTGGAGCCTCGCTGTCATCAGCCTCCCTGGGATTCCACCCACTGATCCTACATCCTGCCGGGCGGGCCAGTGCTTCAGGCCTCGGCCTCTTAGTCCCATTTCACAGATGAGGAAACTGAGGCTAGAGAGGCAGAATGATGGGAGCGCACTGGCGCCAGCGCCCAGGGAGGGACACACTTTCCTCGGGAAAATGTTAGCATGAAAGGAGCCCGCACGCAACGTGGCTATGTGGGACAGTATTCGTGGCGGACGGACGGAAACAGGGCCTGGCACAGAGCCAGGGCGTGGAAGTCAGCAGCCGAAAGACAGGAACAGCCGGCGACTTTGGATGTGCGGCCCCAGAGCACGAGAGCAGGGCAGGCTGGGTTCTCGGTACACACGGCGCGTCCCCCGCTGAGGGGCCGGGAGCCCCGGGGAGCGGCCCTGCGGTGACTGTGTGCGTTCAGAACGGGTGTCGTTTCCGAACCCACTGACTTGCCCTGGCCTGAGTGGCCTCTGGATTCCGGAACAGCCACCGCAAGTCCATTGCCCTCCCTGGGCCGCGGTCTCCCCACCTGGGAAACGAGGGCCAGATGAGAGGTCTGAGGCCACCAGGTACTTGTTTCCTTCATGTGAATCAGCTGACAAAACTGAAGCCATGGGGCCCGGCCGGTGTGGTTCAGTGGTGAGCGTCGATCTGTGAACCAGGAGGTCCCAGTTCGATTCCCGGTCAGGGCACAGGCCCGGGTTGCGGGCTCAATCCCCAGTGTGGGGTGTGCTGGAGGCAGCCGATCCATGATTCTCTCTCATCCCTCGTGTTTCTATCTCTCTCTTTCTACCTTCTTCTCTGAAATCAATGAAAATATATTTTTAAAAAACACAAGGAAGCCATGGGAGATTTCACCCCGAAAATCTGCTGTCCAGCCCGTCCTGGGACCCGGCCGCGCTGGGCACCCATGTTGCCTGGCAGGGCGGGGCCGGGCGGCACTGGCTGCCCCCTGGACACCCTGCCCCCCAGTCCTCACTTATTCATTTCCTCAGACCAAACCGATGCGGTCCCAGGACTACTTGTCATGCTGTCGATCATCGCCTGGACGTCTGTGCAGTGGTTGCCTTTGCGGGGGCGGGGGGGCTGCTCTCCCGTGGCCTCCAGGGGGGAACCTGAGGCAGGAGGCGGGAAGTGGCGCGCGGGTCCCTGACGCTGGTCTCCTCTCCGCAGGTACAACGGCCTGGTGACGGGCGCCAGGGCCAAGGGCATCATCGCCGTCTGCTGGGTGCTGTCCTTCGCCATCGGCCTGACGCCCATGCTGGGCTGGAACAGCTGCAGCTGGCCCCGCGACGACCGCAACCGCTCGCAGGTCTGCGGGGAGGGCCAGGTGGCCTGCCTCTTCGAGGACGTGGTGCCCATGAACTACATGGTCTACTACAACTTCTTCGCCTGCGTCCTGGTGCCCCTGCTGCTCATGCTGGGCATCTACCTGCGCATCTTCCTGGCGGCGCGGCGGCAGCTGAAGCAGATGGAGAGCCAGCCGCTGCCGGGCGGGCGCACGCGGTCCACGCTGCAGAAGGAGGTGCACGCCGCCAAGTCGCTGGCCATCATCGTGGGGCTCTTCGCCCTCTGCTGGCTGCCCCTGCACATCGTCAACTGCTTCACCTTCTTCTGCCCCGGGTGCCAGCACGCCCCGCCCTGGCTCATGTACCTGGCCATCATCCTCTCGCACTCCAACTCCGTGGTGAACCCCTTCATCTACGCCTACCGCATCCGCGAGTTCCGCCAGACCTTCCGCAAGATCATCCGCAGCCACATCCTGAGGCGGCGGGAGCCCTTCAAGGCGGGCGGCCCCAGCGCCCGGGCCGGGGCGGCTCAGGGCAATGACGGGGAGCAGATCAGCCTGCGCCTCAACGGCCACCCCCCTGGGGTGCTGGCCAACGGCAGCGCCCCCCACCCGGAGCGGCGGCCCAACAGCTTGGCTCTGGGGCTGGTGAGTGGACGGGGTGCCTGCGGGTTCCCTGGGGACACGGGCCTCCCCGACGTGGAGCTCCTCAGCCACGAGCTCGGGGGGCCGTGCCCGGACTCCCCCGGCCTCGAGGGCCCCCTGGCCCGGGACGGAGCAGGCGTGTCCTGAGGAGCCACTGCGCTTGCCCTTCCCCCGGGAAGGGACTCTTGCTCTTCCTGGTGGGGGGGTGTGGCTGCGCCCAGACCTTCCCTCCCCGGGCTGGTTCCCCGTGGCCCAGGGGGTAGCCTGGCTGGCGCAGCCCGAGGCCCCGCAGGCGGGTTTGGAGTCCGAGAGCAGGTGTTTCACGCGGGGAGACCCTGTGCCGGCCAGGAGCGCAGCACCGGAGCGTCTTGGGTCTGGTCCCCACTCGAAGGGCCACCTCGTCTCTGCAGAGCAGGCCGCTGGCCCGGAGGCTGGGGCGTGGCTCCGAGGGGCCCTGCCTCCCCCGCTCCCCGGACTCTCCGAGGGTTTGGGAGCTGCTGTGCCTGGAAGTGGTGTTTGACTCTATTTTCCAGGAGAAAATTTTAAGCGTGAAGATACCCCGTTTATTTTATTATTGTCCCTCGCTGTCGTCAGTCCTGCTGCTCACCTGGCTCCAGGAGTCGGCCCGGGAGCCCTGGGCGGCTCTCCCCCCGGATGGCCCAGAGCCATCTCCTGGGGCGACGAAGCTGGGCCGAGGACGGGGCGTCGCGATGGAGCTGGCAGGGGCTGGGGGAGGTCCGGGCCGGCCTGCGTGGGGGGCCGGGGAGGCTCCGCCAGCCCAGGTGGAGGCCCGCACTGCCTGTCCCTCCGAAGGGAATGTCTTTTTCTGAGATAAAATAAACATTGAGCCAGTTGTGTTTTAAGCCTGCCCGACGAGAATGGCGTCTGAGTTCCTCTCCCGTTCCACAGTGGCCTGGCGCACACGTACAGGCGTGTGCTGTGTGTGCGAGACTGTGTGCGTGTGTGTAGACAGACAGACACCCTGCCTGCCCGGGGGGCCTCCCAGGCTCTCAGCCTCTGAGGGACAGATTGCCTGGTCGCACCAGAGTTCAGATGCCCACGTGCAGCCCTGAGACCGGGGTCCCTGGGGGGGGGGGGTCGGTCCCTGTGGGGGGGGCGTGGAAGGAGGGGCTTTACCCCAGCTGCTCCCAGTCCACACACAGCTGACCCCTCCCCCCGCGTGGGGACCAGGCTCCTCCCTCCCTCGTCACCTTCCTAAAGTCCTTCAAAGAAGATCTCTTTGTTTTTTAAATATGTTTTTATTGACTTCAGAGAGGAAGGGAGAGGGAGAGAGAAATATCCATGATGAGAGAGAATCCTGGATCGGCTGCCTCCTGCACGCCCCTCACTGGGGATGGAGCCCGCAACCCAGGCAGGTGCCCTTGACCGGAATCGTACCCGGGACCCTTCAGTCCGCAGGCCGACGCTCTATCCGCTGAGCCACACCAGCGAGGGCCAGTGAAGCTCTTTGTGTTACTTCTCAGAGCTATGCCCACCCTCCCAGTGCCCCCTTCGCCCCTCAGCTGAGAGGCAGCGAGAGATCGAGAGGGGAAGAGATGGGCGGGGCTACACCACCTTCCCAGGGGTCACCCCTCCTCCTCCCAGCAGGAAACGCATCGGGAGCAGGTGTTTCCTGTGCTCGCTCTGCCTGCCCCGGGCTCCTGGCCTAAGGAGGGGGGCCGTCCTTCAGTGAGGGTGAGGGTCGCGGCCCAGGGGACACCAGCAACCTGCTCCATCTGCGGGCCGGGCACACGCAGGCAGGGAGGCCAGGGAGGGAGTGTCGGGGCGTCCCGGGCGCCTCAGGCAGCGTCCTTGATGGACGGCTGATCAGGGAGCCTACGCTGCCCCTCGGAACCGAGGGTCAGCACTTGCCCAGGTCTAGTAAGGGGCAGGAGGGAACTTAAACCCTGGCTGTTGCTCAGTGGTTACAGCGTCCACCTGTGGACCAAGGGGTCTCAGGTTTGATTCCTGGTCAAAGGCATGTACCTGGGTTGCAGGTTCCCCAGCCCCTGTAGGGGCGCTTTCGGGAGGCAGCCAATCGGTGTGTTTCTCTCTCATTGTCGTTTCTCTCTCTCTCCCCCTCCTCCCTCCCTTCCACTCTTTCTGGAAATCAATGGACAATACCCTGGCCAGTGTGGCTCAGTGGTTGAGCGTTGACCTATGAACCAGGAGGTCACGGTCAGGGCACAGGCCCGGGTTGTGGGCTCGATCCCCAGTGTGGGGTGTGCAGGAGGCAGCCGATCCATGATTCTCTCTCATCACTGATGTTTCTCTCTCTCTCCGCCTCTCCCTCTCTGAAACCAATAAAAACATATTTTTAAAAATCAATGGAAAATGAAAAAATAAACAAACACCCAGGTCATCTGACTGCAAGTCGTGCTCCCCCTCACTCACTGCTTTCAGCCAGGTTGTCAAGTATAAAATAGCAGCACGCCCCCCCCCCCACACACACACACCCCGCTTACAGGCGGGACTGTGGCTACAGTGGGAGCACCTGGCCCGCCTGGACCGCGGCCTGGCGCCCGCACCTGGCACCGCGCGCCTGGGTTTCCTTTCGTTCGCGCCCGGCCTGGCGCTGTTTCTCCCCGTGGGTGCGCACGCAGGCGTCCCAGCCGGCGCGGCGGGTTCGGCTCTAAGTTCCTGCTGCACCGTTAGAGGCCCTGGGCGGCTGCACGGACACAGCGCCTTCCCGAGGCCCCGGGGGGCCCAGCAGCAGCGACCCCCCATCTTCCCGGAGCCTCATGCTCAGCCTGGCTGCGAACCCCAGGTCTGCACCAGCCGCCCTCCCGGCCAGGCCGGCTTCCTCCTCCGCCCCACACCCGGGCGGTGCTGGCTGTGGGCTGAGGGCGGCCGTGGCCTGGGTTGACCCGAGGAGGCCGAGAGCCCGGATGCCGCGGGTCCTCAGAGCAGCTGGTGGAGAGGCCAGAGGAGCCGCAAAGGTAGGGAGGAAGCACGTCTCTCCGGCCTGTTCTGGGGCTTCCTGGGAGCCGAGCTTGGGGGGAGCCTTTGGGGTTTGGGGAAGGACCGGGCCAGGGGCTCAGGAACGGCTTCCAGGCACGACTGAGCCCACGCTCCCGCAGGCTCCCACGGCGAGCCGGTCTCGGGTGCAGGCGCACGTGCAGACACAAGCAGGTGCACCCCGCTCCCTGGCCGTCAGAGGACAGGTGTGTGCACTCGGGTGTATGAGGGCAGCTACCCCGACGGGCAGGTGCCCGCAGCAGCAAGGGGAATGGAGCCGGCGGCTGGGGGTGCAGGCGCCTGTCTGCTCTGGGCCTGGCTGCCTGGGGCCCGGCTGCTCTGAGGGCTGCAGCTCTGCCCACGGCCCCCTGCCCTCTCCCTGCCTTTCCCAGGCTTCATGCCAGCGGGTCCTCAGCACAGGTCCCACCGCAGGCCTGTCCTGGGGGTGGCCGCAGCCCCTCTCCATGGCAGCTCGGTCAGAGGCCCCCCCGCCCCCCCCCCCCCCCCCCAGTCCCCGGGCGCCTGGGGGTGGAGGCCTGGCTCAGGCTGGGTCCTGGCTCAGGATTGGCTCCCCTGAGGGACAGGCCCGTGGAAGGCTCCCCTCCCCTCCTCTCTCCCCCCATCCTGAATCCCTGCCTCTGCGGCTCCGACTCTCCCCATGGGGTTCCCGTATTCTCCTCTGGGAGGCCTCCCAGAACGTGCTCCAGGCTCCTGGGCGCCGAGGTGCAGCACCTGGGCCCAGCCGGGTGCTGGCGGCCGGAGTCGGAGGGAGTGGATGCCGGTGCCCTGGGCCCAGCCGGGTGCTGGCGGCCGGAGTCAGAGGGAGTGGATGCCGGTGCCCTGGGCCCAGCCGGGTGCTGGCGGCCGGAGTCAGAGGGAGTGGATGCCGGTGCCCTGGGCCCAGCCGGGTGCTGGCGGCCGGAGTCGGAGGGAGTGGATGCCGGTGCCCTGGGCCCAGCGGGTGCAGGCGGCCTGAGTCAGAGGGAGTGGATGCCGGTGCCCCGGACCCAGGCTGGGAGCTGGCCCTGCCTCCTGTTCACTGGTGTGTGCGGCCGGAAGCGCAGGCTCCCAGGTCGGCTGCGGAAGGCCTGCCAGCTGGCACTCTGTGCCTAGAACCCGTGCCCACCGGCATGCCACACCGCCCCCTGGCACGGCCGCTCCCGGTCTCACTGCAGTGGGCGCTCCCTCCCTGAGCCCGGGCTGGGCCAGTGCTGCCTGAGCGGGTTGGAGGTGGGGGGGTGGAAGACCTGTTTGCTGTGGGGCCCTCATCTACCCCCCAAAGTGGACGGTGTCAGGTTACCCCTCTCCCTCTGCCCCACAGCTGCCCCCTGTCCTGAGGCACCCCTCACGGCACCTGTCACTCATCGTTCGCAGCCCCCTATTGGCTGCCCGCTGGGCAGGGGCGGGAGGGCATCAGAGTCACAGCCCCAAGAAGAGGGATGAGCACAGGACGCGGCCTGGGGCGCAGGCACCTCCCGCTCTGCCTGGCCCTTCCCTTCACTGGAGGAGAGGCAGCTGGGGAGGCTGAGCAGGGGCCAGGCTGAGGCTGAGGCTGAGGCTGAGGCCGGGCTGGGATGGGGGGCACCCACCCCATGGGCTTTCGGGAAAGTGCAGTGGGAAAGGCTTTGCGTGGAACCATCCTCATTTCTTGCCCTTGCCGGGGGGGGGGGGGGGGGGAGAATAGAGATCAAGGCCTCCTGGGGAAGGGGCCAGGCCTGCTCAGGTCCCCGGCGGGGGGACTCCCAGGAGCTGGCAGACTCAGCCACCTGGACCTGCACCTAAAGACCAGGAAGCTGTCAGGGCGGCCTCCTGAGGACACATCAGGCCCTGAGCCCCATCTGGGACTCTGTTCCTCTCTCAACGGCTCCATCAGCACCTGCTTTTGAATACTGGGGGGGGGGGGGGGGGGGGCGTGGGGGAGCCAGAGGCGCCTGCCCTGGCCCAGGAGGGATGGCCACGGCCGCCCAGGCTTGGGGGGCAGGGGACGGGACAAGGTCACACCCAATGGGGCATCAGGCAGGTGAAGTCCAGTGAACTCCGACTCCGGGCGCCTCTTTAAGGAGTTTGCTGGGAGCCTGGCTGGCATCTGCCTACACGGAATTATGCCCCCATTTACAGCAATTTTCAAGTTAAAGTGTTGTCAGAGGCTGTCACGGTTTGATCCGTCTTTTCTGTTCATCCGCCCACATTTTCTCGTTGGGTTGGGAGGGGGGGTGAGGGGGAGAGAGCCTGGCTTGGATTCAGAGCTTTGGGGAGCGGTTCCCGTTATAGGGGAATGTGAACGCGATCGAGTTTTCTGCTGGGAAAATTCAGGCCCCGCGCCCAGTGTCAGCGCTGCTGTGAGCTGAGGACACTCCGGGGCCAGGCCCGGCGTCCTGCCGCCGCCCGGCTCTCCGGGGAGGTCAGCTTGGCTCTCCCTGTGCCCGGGATGCACAGCGCCCTCCACTCGCTCCTTCTGCCCCCCCCCCCCGACTCCTGGCCCCCACCCACTTCTCCGACTGCGGGAAGTCACCGTCTGACCTGCTTTTAGATGAGACGGGATGGATGCGCATGCGTGGGGGAGGTTGTGTTCCTAGACGCCCAGGATGGTGATCAGCGGGATGACGTCCATTCTCGAGGCAGAAAGTGCAAGGGGCGCGCAGTCAGGGCGCGGTGCCCTCGCTCTCAGAGATGGCAGGCGCTGGGGGAAGGGGGGTGGACGGGGCCCCGCAAGGTGCAGGGAGAAAACACGTCGTCGTGCGTGCAGTTCCCAACAGCACGGACGTTTCCGTGGCTGAGTTCAGCGTCGGTCATAGGCGCCCAGGCTGCGGAGCCCACAGAGCCCCCGCTCAAGCCGGATCCCCGCGTGGACGTGTCTGCCCCCATGGGGGTCTCGGTCACACCTGGAGCGTGAACACGTGGCTA